CATTCCAAGGAACAGCATAAGCAACGTGTACAAGTGGGGTCTGCTGCAAATCACTTGTATTCGGTGGGTCCTCAGTTGGACACGACGCGTGGCCTACCCCTTTAAGAAGCAGTGTCGGGTCCTGGTTTAAGCGACGGCCAGTCAATCGTACAGCCTCAGCAGGCACCCCAGGAAGGGACGGGCAGCTGTCCTCAGGTACTTCAGCGGGGAGGGGAACGTCAGGAGAAACTCGCAGTCTCGCAAACTGTGGGTACTCGGGCACGACAGCAGGCACAGCATGGCGCTTGGTGGACCCTGGCAATGCCGCAGAGGCAGGTCGTAGCGGCTAGGGCAGAACGGACGTAGGCAACAGCGGCTTGTACGACATGGTCGCAGAAAACGGTCGGCAGGTGACGCTGCTGACGAGATGCGGGCGCCGGGGCAGACCAAGGAGCATACACATGAGATCCATCGCAGCGCCTGGCCAAAACGCAGAGAGCAGGCACATTGAGTAGGAGGCGCACAGCACGCCTACGGACACACCCGCATCGACAGAAGACGACGTCAGTCAAGAAATGCTTCGAGCCGATCGTCTGAGCAAACACAGGTTTCCGGAAGACCGCGGCACGAAGTCGGTACAAGCAGTAAGGAGTGCACGCTTCGGCAAGAGTGGCAAGTAAAAGCAGCAGAAAGTTCAAGACCGCTGGATTCAACGGGGCGGAGAAGGACCGCGAGCCACCAGGAGGTACCACGAAGAGGAAGGACACGGCACCCTCCCGGAGTGGTTCCAAACATACAGGGCACTGTAGCACGTCCCACTTCAAGGAAGGCACCTTCCAAGCCTTCTGAGGGACATGTTGCAGAGTCAAGGTCCTGACATCGACAGTATGAAGCAGCTCCGACAAGCGGACGGCGCCGAAAATATCTCGAGACACATCTGCTGGGCAGGGCAGGCGCGAGGCGGAGGAGTAGCACACGTTGGAGGTGGCCGAAAACCTAACACGCAGAGCACATGACGTTGGTCATCCTCCAGCTGCGGCACAGGGTCTATGCAGAAGGCCACCAACACTACCCGCCGACCTCGCCAAGGCAATCTAAAGTATTCATCTCGTCGCGCATGCATCAAGCAGGTGGCACTCTTGGTTCTAAAAGGACGCCCCTCACATGCGTACCTGAATCGAAAGCCACCTCGGGGCCTTCAGTTGGGACGACGAAGAGATTGCCACTCGCCACCGACAAGGACAATAAAAGTCCCCACGTGGCTCGAGCGGATCCTCCTCACGAGCGCACGAAGCCGCACGGAACCACAGGGTCTTCCCCCCACACCCACCGCACCTATGCTGAAGCTTAGCTTAAACCCCAGCACAAGTGCGATCGATGGAGGAGGAAGAGGTCCAAAACTGCCGTTGACACAGCCACAAGGCCGCCAAGGCAGGAAGACTGCATGAGAAGGACAATCAAGACACGAAGATTGTGTAATGAAGCAGCATCATCATGAGGCTCTTGCCGAGATTCCAGCACAAAGCGCGCCCCCTTCGGGATCGACAGGAACCGACCTGTAATGCGGCAGGTATGTGAGGCAGGCGCTTCTTCGGTCTCTCATCGATCCTTGCAGCGCAGGCTTAGGGTGGTGATGGTTCGAAGGAATTTGAAGGGCTCGCGCTTAACCGGGGTGGACTTAGGCTTAAGGGCGTCGCGGGGAGTAGTGCTGGCAGCGTTTCGGGCTCACGGCAGGAGCAACTGTTCGACACATGGCATTTGCACATCGTTCAGCAAATGTATGTTAAACGGCAAACTCCCATCGGAGCCCAGTGTAAACTCGGAGCGTCACTTCCCTCTGGCGGGGACGCTCCTCCTGGCTGCAGAGCGCGAGTTGCACCAAGGTGACCGGTATAAGTCCGGCTACAGAGAAGCACACGCCCCTCCGCCGCACTGCATGAGGCTCCCACAGGTCCGTAGCAACATACGCTTCACGACGTGGCGCATCTCTCCTGGACAAAGCCTGCACAAGTGCGATCGATAGAGGAGGAAGAGGTCCAAAACTGCCGTGGATACAGCCACAAGGCCGACAAGGCATGCAGACTGCATGAGAACGACAATCAGCACACGAATTCTGACGTAAAGAAGCAGCATCATCATCATGAGGCTCTTGCCGAGGTTCGAGCACAAAGTGCGCCCCCCCCCCTTCGGAATCGACAGGAACGAGACCGGTAATGAGGCAAGCATGCAATGCGTGCGCTTCTTCGGTCGCACATCGGTCCTTGCAACGGCAAGCTTAGGGTTGTGGTGGTTCGGAGGAAATCGAGGGGCTCGTACTTTACCGGGGAGGGGACCTAGGCTTAAGGGCGTCCCGGGAATTAGTGCTGGCAACACTCCGGGTTCACGGCAGGAGCGACTGTTGGACACATGGCATTTGCACATCGATCAGCAAATGTCTATCAACCGGCAAACTTCCATCGGAGCCCAAGGTAAACTCGGAGCGTCACTTCCCTCAGGCGGAGACGCTCTTCCTGTCTGCAGAGCGCGAGTTGCACNNCCTTGTGGTACGCATCAAACAAGAACCGTATCAGAGACTCATGTACCTCGAAGCTCATTTGGTGGCGCGTCTTTGAGCTCCCCGACAAAGCCTGCCTGCAATCGTGCACCAACGTTCCCGACGAAGAACTGCCCCTCGAGCGGCAAGAGAATCTTCCAGGACGGTGTCTCGTCGGAAACTTCCGCACCAGCAGGGCCTGGGACGGCAGTAGGAGCATGTGCAAGGTTAGCATAAGTGCTCCAGCCGCACATGCCGAATGTTCCACGACGGGCTCCACAGTTTTGCCGCGGCTAGGTGACCGCGGCCGAAACGGTCGCGTCATCGTCATGTGGCTTCCGGGCTCAATGCACGGTTGCCTCGAGCCACGCCGTCGGTTCACAGAACTATACCAGCATCACAAGCAGTCGTCTCGCCCAGGGCATGCGGGTCCACTAAGTGGCCATCAGTTTCCGATCCAGCTTCATTAGAATCCAGACTACCCAAGCCGTCAGCTTCAGATCCAGCTCCATCAGAATTCGTATCGCCAGGGTAAGAGATCCCCTCACGGATCAAATCATTGGTGCCCACCAACCTGCACACCAGGGTTGCTGCTGCGTC